AATGCAGCGGCATTGCCGGCCTCCTTCCAATCAAAATCCTTTAAAAGTTCCTCAACATTCGCCAAAGATATTTCTTCCTGTTTAACGTCTAGCAAGTTAAATTAACAATCCAGTAACATTGACCATTTAGTTCAAAACTTGGTTCCCTGAACAGGAATTGACGATACGTTCTGTCAGGATAATGTACCTTCATCTATTGCGTAATTCATAATGCTATTCGACTCGCTGGCGTTGGCGCCAGCAAATAAAGAGGGCGTGGATCTATCATTCTTGGCGAGGTTCCGGAGACCCGAATCGAAACTACGGATACTAGTAGTTGAATTCGCATTTGCGAGCTTTTCTTGTAGAGATAAAGCCATTACAAATTCATCCGATTGAGTTTGTTCTTCTGTAATTGCATCGTTATGAGTAACTGTCAGTTTTTAACAAAAACAGAGAATGGTACTAGAGCAGTAAATCATGGGATAGAGCAGGTTTTTTACCTATCCAAAAGTCTTCGCAACTGGCAAGTCTTGGCAGTTGAGTAGTGAACTTTCTGTAGACCTAGTAAAATCGTATCAGACCTTTGTCGGCATCATCAATTATTGGCATATCAGTATTAGTAACATTATCATTTGATCGCGTACCTGTACCAAACTATATAAGAATGCTTGTTTCTCATAAGGCGTTTCCGTTGACCAGCAGTAAGCTTTATTCAGAGTTACAACGAATGTCGTTGGCTGTGCATATGCGAGTAAAGTTTCTAAGCGTAAATCAAATTCATACATATTGATCAAACAATCCAAACTTACGTTTACTCCTTCAACAGCACGGAGCTGCTCTAAAGGCCATGATTGACCAATAGAAAACTTATTTTCGAACTTTCTCGACTTGTAGAGGTGGAATGCTCCATCATATCTTTCTGTTCGAAAATAGACAACAATAAGCTTATGACTAATAAACCGCTACCTGAATGAAATCTACAAAAATGCTCTTGGAAGTATGTTAACGACTACAAACCTGCTAACAGTAAATACCGACATTTTGTCTCAACCTTGCTGGGTCGAAGACGCGATTTACCCTGCTGCGTGTGAGCTGACGCATCCTCATACACTTTTACATGTGCCAGCAGGTTCTCGTAGAGAATTGCATACCCTGTCGATCGGATGGTCAGTGTCCATTACTGTTAACCACCAGTCACATCTGCAATTTACATCATACCTGGGTTTTTAGGATCTTCCACCTGCTTACGAAATAATGAATTAACTATTAAATGTCTAGTCTGTTCCTGTCTGCCGTCGGCCATGGTGTTCCCTATTTGAAGGATCTATCCAGACATACGCTGCGATGTAGAGAGCTAGTCAACTGTTAGTTCGTCGCACTCCTAAACGTATGCTAAATGGACGGTCAGGGTTGTGACAGTCATTTGATTTTTGGCGAGTGGTCGACATTTTGCGTGTACAAACGAAAATTTGGGCTTTTACAACCCTTATGTACGTGTTTCTTTTCGGTGCCTTTCTTTCGTTTGGAGTCGGCTATATTGCCCGTAACCTCGATCTCGTTAATAGATTTTACGAAAGTTTTAGCAACATATCCTCGACAACTCATAAGGTTTGTACTTCGGCTCTTATCTGGAAAACCAGAGTGCTCATGATCGAGTTCGTAACCGATCTTGCAAGATCCTTGTTTGCGTGCAGCAGAGCTAATTGGCCTCTCGTTCGTGTTTTTCATGTAGCAGTATCTGCTAGTTGTGCTTTTGATTCTAAGTCTTCTTTTCCTGGCGATTCTCATACCTCTTTATCGCATAGTCGAATACGAATCGAAATCGGTTAGTGTAATTGCCCGATCTCTCGAGTGGCTGTGAATAAGTTTAACATCAGAATGCATTAAACAATTTAGACGAACGGATATCCGTATAGGACTTCAGCAAGAGAGCATTTGAAGAGACGTGGCAGTTTCTAAATGGTCAGTATCGCCGGTGTGATTGATGAATGAATCGTACGTCATCTGTAACGACTGATTTGCTTGAATGTAGAGAATTGACATCATCGTCAATAAATAAACAATGAAACCATCTAGCGCAGTGTCAAAGATTTTCTGGCCTATCCATATTTGTTCATCGCGAACCTATCCTGGATTTCTTGTAGGCTGGAATGTTAGAAGCTTTACTATTTGTGTAGCTGGAGTGATCTCAAATGTAAAGGTACTGATTTTGCTTTGACGTTCGCGTGGGTTTATTCACGCGATTTAATCCTCATATCTTAATTGTTTAACCATAAGCTTGAAGACCTAGATGCGGCGATTTCAGCACTGAAGAGCAATCGTTACCCATTGTTTGCTTCCATGGATGATGTGTGGGGAGCTCCTCCCACTGTTCTTGGTGTGTTGACCGTGGATGGCGTCGAGAATCAGGCTGACTCTGAAAGCATTCTTTATTC